TGATCAGACCCATAATGGATGACTGCCAGGATTCCTATGTAAAGGTAGGGATGAGCAACTCATGCTCATCATTATGGGTCAACTGCCCTGTATTCCTCGGATAGTGGGTTAGTGGTTGGAGTTGCTCGAGACCAGTTGACCATGTGTCCTCAGGTGAAGAGCATGTTAGAAATGTGCTCTCCAACAACAATAATGGATTGGGTCTTTGTGTTGGGCCTTCTTCGACCCGAAGCTGGACTTGGTTATGTCTAACGGTGGGCCAGTCTCAGACCCAGTCCAGAACACTCCCTCTCTTGTAGAATTAAAGTTTGTCCTAACTCAACCTTACAAAACCAATTTATAAGGTGATGGTTGTCACTATATATAAACCCTTTATGGGTTCTATCTTTAACCAATGTGGGATTTGAGTTTTTCCCAATATACCCCCTCACGCCAGCACTATTGGACTTGGTGCGTGGATATAAATGGCGGGTGTCTTGAATTATCAATATATGAGACTTGGTTTTTCCAATACACTCCCTTACTCCCAACACTTTTTTTGGGCTTGGTGCGCATATATAAATGGCAGGTAGCCTGAATCGATAAGCTCGTGATACCATGATAGAATTAAAGTTTTTCTTAACTCAACCCTACAAAACCGGTTTGTAAGGTGAGGGGTGTCACTCTATATAAACCATTTATGTGTTCTATCTTTAACCAATGTGGGACTTGAATTTTTCTCAATATTATCATATACCATTGTGCTTGGAGAGCACAAGGTTCAAGTGGCCAACAAGGTATTCAGTGAAACGACTTTTATAATTTGCTTATACATAACTGAAATGCATCAAACTGATATAATGAAACATACAAACATAGATTAAAAAGTATTAATTCATATAAAAAAATTTAAAAAAATGTTATAAAATCATATATTCTAAAAATAAATTATGAGTTTACACCTCCTTTTAAAAAATAAATGTAATATAGATTTTGAAAAGAAAATATAATTTTATTATAAGTTTTTAGTAATTAAAAAAAATGAACCCTCCCAAAACTTAGGATGACATATTTCACATGTATTGAATCGACCCTGAAAGTGACTATTACATATCGTTTAACAAAAATTAAAGAGAATTTCTTATAAGATCCTATGTATTTCTACCGCACCAAGTGAAATTCCAAATATGTCATTTGATTCTGAAGATATATCTCCAGACGCATCCAAAATTCAGTGAACGTTGAAAGTGGAGCATAAGTCGCGCCAGACTCTTCTCCTTTATCATTTCACACTCTTACTCAAACTCAAATCTTCTTCTTCTCAATACACTTCAACTTCACCAAAACAACTTTTATCAGGTATGGCTCAAAAGGAACTCAAGGGAACATCAAACATCATCTATAACATCATTCAATATCATCAAAATCATAAATTTCAAGTAAGTTTTTCGAGTTTTCAGTAAATATTCGAGTTTTACTGTAAATATGTAGAAATCAATTATTAGGGTTAGAAATGTGTATAAATTATATGTAACATAGTTTAGACTTAGTGTATAACTTGTTTGTTGGCTCAAAATAGCAATCAAGATATGTTTTTCAACTTGCAAGAGGTACATTCGCCATTGACGAGACCTCTTTGTTGCAGAACATTCCGGAGATGCATCTCCAGAATTGTTCAATGTTTCATATACTTTGGGAAATTCTGGAGATGCATCTCCAGAACTCTTCAAAATTAATAGTTTTATGGTGTTTCCAGAGATACACTTCTGAAATTATTCAATGTTATTGTTTTATGGCGTTTCCGGAGATACATCTCTAGAATTTCCTGCAATATGTTTTTTTTTCTTATTTGTATGCACTAATGATATGCCTTATTTTACCTTACATACATAATAGCTGATAGAGTCGACAGACTGAGACATGACAGGGTTGCTCAGTATGCATCCGTTCGGCGGGAGCGGAGTTAGCAAGTTCCGGAGGCAGCAGGTACATCTGGTCAAGTAGAGTCGTCAACTTCTGGGGCACCGTCTACTTCTAGGGCTAGTGCTTCAGCTCATTCCACTCTATCTCAGACCACTTCACCTAATTCTTCTTCTCGTAGGAGATAGGATTCACCATCTGACGCGTCACTTCCTCTATCCTCCCACAGGCGTCGGGATTTACCAGTGTCACCTCATATGGATCCAGTGTCACCTCCTGCTGATGATCTTAATGATCTAGTGTCACCTTCGAAGGGTGAGGCTGCTGCAGATGGTGAGCTTGAGGGTTTTGGAGAAGGTCCATATGATTTTTCCTAACTTCCTCTGTATCTAGACCATACTGCCAGACATATCTGAGACGGAGAGGTAGCATTAGTTGGATTTTTTATTTTTTATGCGTTAATTTTAAGGGGTGACATTGATTATTTTTGACATTTATAATTTCTGGATAATTTCAGGAGTGTGATCCCCAGAAGTTTCTTAACAATGGGAGGAATATTGGTGGCTTGCCTCAGCCGAATGAGGATTGGTTTTAGACAATTTTGTCCTTATCTGGCCCAAAGGACCTATGCATGATCGATTACGCTCTGGTCAACCGCATGATGCTTTATGCATTCATGGAGAGATGGCACTCTGAGACCTCTTCATCTCTTGCATGGTGAGATGTATATCACACTGGACAATGTCTGGTGTTTGTTACATCTTCCGATCAGGGGGAGATTCCTCGATCATGGGAGGATGACCAAAGACGAGGCAGCCGAGATGATGGTAGAGCATTTGAGGGCTAATCCAGAGAAGGAGATGCAGTAGATGGATAAGACCAGGGGTACTCAAGCTAGATTTGAGTTCCTGAGGAAGATCTATGATGATGAAATCCTTAGGGCACATCAGGCTCGTGGTGATGATAAGCATTTGGTAGTACACAAGGCTTGTGCTTTGAGGGCATACTTTCTTTTTTTGGTTGACACTTGCATTTTTGTGGACACGAGTGCCACTTATACTTCTTGGATCTCACTCAGATCCATGAGTACTACTGGGGGGGCGACTTACTAGCCTATCTTTATTCGAAGTTGAGAAAGGGATGTTGGTGGAAGACGAAGTCGGTCACAGGCAGCACGACACTACTGGTGGTAATATTTCTTGATCCATGAATTTTTTTTGTTGTCATTTTCATTTCATATTTGCGAAACCTTTGTCGATATTTCTTGATCCTTGAATGTTTTTTTATATTTTTATTTCAAGTTTGGATCCTCCAGCACTTCTCGCGCGTCGTTGGCTGGGCAAGTGTGGATGAGTACGTTGAGGATATGTCGCATGTCTGTACTTTTATCCCGCTTAGAGGGAACCAGGTGGTCGAGCCTTTCAGAGTCTATCTTGACTGTTTAGTTGTTGAGGATATGCATTTCAATAACTACGTGGATTACCGTCAAACATGACCATTTGACGAGATAATGATATACTTCGGATGGTTGGCCTACGGATCGTGTAACACTGCTTCTCATCTGCCCGAGCGCGTCATGCGGTAGTTCGGGTACATCCAGACCATCCCCAAACACCTTGTTGTCTCTTCTCATCCTGCCTTGTCTCGTAGACAAATAGACGAGATGTTTGCTGATTATGAGAGTCATTTGGTACCGGAGGAGGCACGAGCTACCATATCATCGAACAAATGAAGCTACGTCGAGGGTACATCACATGGTTCTTCAAGGTGTCACATTCGTACATGGTGCAAACTGCTCCAGGAGATCCGTCGAGACCAGTTCATCAGGAGATACTAGAGGAGAAGCAAACTCAGCTAGATCATACTGATGATGTCTTGCCTTGGTGTCGTCGCATATTGGAGATTGCGCGGTCAGGCATTGACAATAGCATCTTCCCTGATGGGTCTGTTGTCAGACGAGTCTTAGATGCCATTATGGCGGAGGCACAAGAGGCACTGCTGTACCGGAGGCATCGTCGAAGGACGGTGGGATTGATGGTAGAGTAGGCAGAGGAGACAGGGGAGGTAGAGAAGATGTTGTCAGTCACACGGTAGTAGTCTGTAATTATTTTGTTGTATTACTATACTCTCTACTTTATTTTTACGGTTTTATTACATTTTAGATCTCGATTATACGATATTTTCTACATACATTGCTATATCATTTCCGACATATTTATTATTTTGTACGTCTATTTTGTTTATTCGAGATTGTGTTTCATACTTCATCTGAAAACAATTACACAACTTATAGAAAAATTGTTGTTTTCGGATATGTATCTCCAAAATATTACTATAGATGTATCTCCAAAACAATTCAAAAATGAATAACTACAAAATAATATATTTTAAATGTTTAAAATTGTTTCAAATGTATATCTCCAAAATATATCAACGTTTATTTAAAAATAAATGCGTTTAAAAATGTATCTCTAAAATCATAAAATATATAAAACCCATGTAATATGGATTCATAGTCAAGAATAACTTTTGTTCTAAAACAAGCCAAAGATTAAATAAGAAAAACAATTCACATTTAATTCAAATTTTGAACGTCTCAACAAACTTCTATGTATAAGAGATATCATGTGTGAAAAAAAAAAAGTATGATTTCAAATTTAATCTAAGTCATGCGTAACTTTTCATTCTATAACAAACTTAATCGTTACAATGATAACAGCTTATTTCGCCATAAAAGCTTGTACTGCTCTGTTTGGTCTTCTAATATTTTTTTCATTTGAAAAGGAAAATTGTGGTACACTACTTTGAATGTAATTTTGTTCAAGATGATAATTGTTTTCAAACACCCGATGTAACAACATCAATTTCAATGTATTTAATTATTAAGTATTTAATACATTCATGAGTTATTAATTTATACGTATTTTATAATTATTTAAAAAATATATATTAATAAAGATAATGTGCACACTCGCCAAATTGAGAATGTAACCGCAAAGGATTCATGGAATTCAGAAGCTTTATTATAAACTAGCAGTATTACAATAAGGGGTAAACCAAAAAATCTTTACGATGCCTAAGACTATGATGACACTATACTCTCATTTCCTTCCTCCTCTCTTCACACCGGAAGCCTTCTTTGCTGGAGATTTCACACTCTTCACTGGAGCTTTCTTTGCAGCAGCCACTTTCTTTCCTGGTGTCGTCTTTGCGGATGTCCTTGCTACCTTTGCAGGCTTTGCCTTGGGCTTCGGTTTCACAGCTGCTTTTGCCTTAGCAACAGTTTTAGGCTTAGCAGCAGCTTTGGGTTTGGCAGAAGCTTTCGGCTTGGCGGCAGCCGTTTTCGGATTGGTAGTAACAGATTTGGACTTTGAAGCAACCTTTGGTTTAACAACGGGTTTAGCTTTTGGCTTAGCAGCCGGCTTGGCCTTCACAGCCTTTGCCTTGGCAGCGGGCTTTGTCTTCGGCTTGGCGACTGCAGGCTTTTTGGCCGCTGCTGAAAGCTTGAATGAACCTTTAACCTTAATAAGCTTTCCAGAAGCAACTTTCTTCTTCAAATTTTGGAGCAATAGCTTCTTGAAGTTAGCAGGAAGCTGTTTCTGTTTCTCTTCTATGAATTTTGCTATTGCATATTGGCTCGAACCATTCTTCTCCTTCAGCGACACTATTGCATCCTTAATCATCTACAGTTTAATCAAACCAATCAAAAATCAGATCCAATTGAAACTATAATTGATGACGAAATAATAAAATTGAACAAATGAAGAATTTAATGGAACCTCTTCGTAAGTAGGGTGTGAAGCAGGGTTTCGCGGTTTCGAAGATTTCTTAGGTTTTGATTCCTTAGTTTTCTTCGTCTTCTTTCCTTTAGCCTTTGGTTCCTCCTTCTCCGGGACCTGAGGTTCGGTGACTGTTGTTGGTTCGGTGACAATTGGTTCGGGAACGGATTCCGCGGCGACAATGGGTTCTTCTGTGGCCATTGCAAACTCAATTGAATGTTTATGAAACTCAATTGAATGTGTTTGAAAAGAAATTGATTAGTAAGAAAGACTTCTAATTAGTTTGGATTATAATTGTTGCGTGAAAAATGTAGAGAATTTAGATGGTTTAAATAGTAAAGTGAAAGAAAAGTAATATAAGGTTCCTTGGTTCTCATTGGTTCAGGGATCCCGAGAAGGATCGATGCCTTTTTCTAGTTTAAATGTCAGCCCTTCGATGAGACTTCTATCGACGGTTGGTTTTGATTGATCGGTGGAGAATATGAAGAAAAGCTATTGTACATGATAATTTAGGGGATGTTGGTTGTGCTTTTAAGCTAGTTTGTTTTGGTCATAACTTGAGCTGTGGTTTATGGATTTGGCTGATTTTTTTACAACTTCTAGGATATTTTATCAGCTTTCTAACGACTGCTTCAGCTTATAAAATGGATAGGTGGATTGAGAGAATTTTTCTTTTGAAGCCACGATGGTCATGACTAGGATTATATATGATGTTACCATGGTTTTCCTCTAATTCAGGGGGAATGCTTACATAAGGGGTTTGATCAAACTCCCTCTTGGGATAATAGATTAGGAGACGATTTTATTACACCAAAAATCATGAAAATTCATTGAGATTTGAATATAGAACAATTGCCTGAAAGACCATTGAAGTCGCACAAGTGTTATTTACAGAAAAAAATGAACTTTTCTTTTGCTAAGTATCGTGTATAGACTAAAGAATTGATGATATATTTAAAATATCATGTGCATGCATGAAGGTTGTTTAATATTAAGTAAGGTAGTTATCCTCTAAAATATGGAATTTATTTTTAAAAAATAAACACTAACTATAACATAGTCATATCCGTTTTATCCATTTAAGTTAATGTCGATGAAATATGTAGGTTTGATATCTTTTTTGGTCTCGTATCTTAATTTTTAGGTTTATTTTGCTCTCTTAACTTTAAAAATGTCCATATTGGTCCCTTAACTCTTCAAAACATTTTATATTAGTAATTTTTGCCTAATTAACGGTGAATTTAACAACTGATTTTTTAATTTTTCCGTTGCTAATAGGACAAAAAGAACTAATATGGAACGTTTTGAAGAGTTAAGGGATCAATGTGGACCATTTTAAAGTTAAGGAACCAAAATGAATATCGAGGTTAAGATTCGGGACCAAATAAGATATTAAACCAAGTATGTAATTCATTTTTATCTTTTATAGTTCAAACCATATTTTAATCTTAGTTCTCGTTAATATTTAGTCATTATCTAATTTTTTGTTACTCGTAAGTCATATTTTGTTAACAATAATCTCATCTCTTTATCGAACAAAGTCTTTAATTCTTAATCAATTTATGAGTTCTTAAGACTCGAGCTGTAAATATATTAACTTACAAGTAGTTTGCATTAAATATTTCTAGTTGTATGCGCTTACGTAACGAGAAATTGATTAATCATTTTTACTATTTGTTGGTAAAATAACTTTTTCAAATCAACAAATTGGCATGTTCAATAAACACCTATGGATCTTTTCTTTCCTTTTTACCTTTCATAATCGTTAATTTTTTGGGTTTCAAATCGATTGGAGTTAGGTGTCATTCGATTGTGACGTTAATTTTGGCTCATAGAAATTTTCTTTTTTTATACCAACTTCTATCTACCCTATAAATAGAGGTTCTCCTCTTCACATTTTCACATCTAGAAAAAATGGCTTCTTATCTCACTCTTCACTCTCGCTCTCTCTCTCTAAAAATATTTCTCCACTATCTCTCCATTAGGGACTAGGGGTTATGGGGATCATCTTATGACCGTTTGTATGATCTGTCACAAGTCGACTACGAGAGTTATTTGTCTAAATTTATTTTAATACATGAGTTCATACATTCCAACCTCTGTACGAAAGTAAAGTTTTCTCAGGTGCTAACCGTAGTTTGAAAGGATATGTGTCGGTACCGGAGCGCAGGTTTTTTAAACAAACAAGTTCATACAACGAAAGTAATTGGATGAATTTTAGAAAGTTTTATAGCTGAGCAAAAGTAAGGAATCCCTGATGAATAATATGACCATGCGAAAGCAGATGAGTTATTCGTCATCGATTGGGCAATACGTGGCGAAAGCAGGTGTTGCCCACATTTATTTATTTTCTATAAATCATGTCAAAACTCTCTTAATAGAAGTGATTTAGATTGTATGAATGTGTCAGAGTGAGAACCATAACCCAAGGTCATGTTTGCCTCCATTGTGATTTAAGTTATTTTCCAATTAAGATGTTTTCTTATATGTGCTTTTTATTTAAGTTGTTTTCACAAAATCTCAAATTATTGATTCCTTTAGATATACATCGATATAACAAAATTCAGTAATTAAATCATTAGTCTTTGTGGTTTGATAATTTTTTACTACTTCGCACAGTTGTGCACTTGCGACATGTCACATTCTCCATATTGTTGATCTTGGTAATATGAACATCATCAAGAAGAAGGGTGTGGTGAAGCCTGAAGCATGTCTTAGCATCAGAAATGGTAAGACTGCCTACATGGAGGATTTTCCTTTTATTTCCAAGATGGACAATCCATAGGTGATTTTAAAGTATATCAAGTTGACTAAAGAGCAAGTCGGTGTCCTTTTAACTATGGATGACATTCCAGATGCTCTTGAAAATGCCTACAAGCCATAAAAAAAGAGAAAGAAGGTTGTTTCTGAAGCTCAGAAGGAGACTCATAAGCCACCCAAGAAAAAAAACTTTTGCATCTATTTAGAAGGAAGTAAAGAAAGTTGTCTCTTTTGTTGTCTTAATGCATGCTAATACCAGAAGTTGAGCCGCTGGGAAGACACCTTAAGAGACAACTTCTTCTTTTGTCAAACCAACATCTGCTAAAAAAGTAAGAAATATGATTCTTCATGTTGAAGAAAAAGAACAAATAAAAGAAAAGGAAAATGAATATGATTTTTCTTTCGTTAGGAAGACAAAGAAAATAAATAAGTTAGCGCATGACCTGATGAAGAAGTCTACTGAAGAAGGAGAAAAGCTGATAACATTTTCCTTAAAGAATAAAGATTTAGAAAATCCCTCTGAAGCTGAAGTTTTAAGGGAATAAACTATGCAAGTTTAAGCTAATGCATAAGCTTTTTTGAAGAGTGTAGATGACAAAGCTACATAGACTCTGGCTTTAAAAGCTATTATGGAAGAAGACATCATGGCTGAAGCTAGAATTGGTGCAGAAGCTTCAGATGCTGCAGAAACTACAACCATAAGTATAATTTATGATCCTATCTCTGAGTTAGTTTTAAATTATTCCAATACTCTACTTGAAATCAAAATACAAGCCCCTCATAATTCACCAACCCAATCCTCTAAACACACACTCTCACAAAAACATGACATGGTTCTACCTTTAGGACCTGTCATGTCTTACCCCAAACCTTCTGATGATTCAGATTCCCACACAATTGCACAGATTCTACACTCTTTCCAGACATCATATGCCATAGTGTATTGTTAAGGCACCTAGTTAGTGTGTTCTCTTCAGGACATCTATCTTAAAATAACCAACTAATATGTACCTCTAAATCTAAACAATCTACACCCTAAACACTACCACTGAACCTTATTAACCCAAGATACCAGAAGATTCTAACAAAACCATACCTTCCCCATCATTTATCTTAAGTTCAATCTCTAATTCTGGTGAATCAAATTTTAACCCTATAGATGTCACGCCAATTCAAGCCATACCCCTTGAAACCACACCTTCTAAATCTCACATATTTGAATACCAAATCAACCTTAATCCACCTGAACATCAATCTCAACCTGAACACCATAACTGGAAGCTCAAACTGAACCCCATTCTGAACAAGAAATCTTTAACCCATAACCCCTTCAACCAAACAGACCAACCCCAACCAGAAGCCACATGAGACCAAATTATACCAAAAACACAATCTGACCCTCAACCTCAACCATATATTGCAGATAATGTGTAAGGTTCTGGCATAATACCTATTTCTTTTTCAAAAGAAATCACCTTACCTATCCCTTCATCCCTTCCACAAACTTTCAATCTAAACCCTCCACCAAATATCCAAAACCTAATAGAAGAATATAGAAATGTTTACTATGATAAGATACGAGAATTGGTTGCTGAGAAACTCAATGCATCTGAACCAGTTGCGTATGTTGCTAAATGGGATACTCTTAGAACCTCTATGGATTCAATTTACAAAACCTGAAGTCTTTCACTTCTGAGACTGTTGCTTCTACCAGTCAACGGCAGGAGCAATTATAGGAGAAACTAACTTAAGTGGCTGATAAGGAAGACAAGATGGATACTCAGTTGTAGTTTATGGTTGCCAAGCAAGATGCTATAGGGTCTGACATCAAAGCCATCTTGGAGATTTTGAAGAAAATACCCTAGACTTTAGGCTTAGTACCCTTTTGTTGCCTTTATTGATAACTTCTTTGAAATTTTTTATTGCAATCTGACAACTCTTTTTGTTTAGTTTAAATTTATTTTTCTTCAATATCTTCTGCTTCCATTATTATATGTTCTTTTTATTCATGACAAAAGTGGGAGTAGATATATAAGTATTTAAGCACCTGAATATGATAGTTAAGAACTATTTATACTTAAATTCAGAAGATTATTTTACCGTGATTTTAAGATTAATTTAATTAACCTGGATATAACTTAGTGGGAGCTTACATGTCGCGATGAAATTTGGATACCAAACTATTGATTAGTTTGAATCTTTAATTCATTTTTGCAACCGAACTTTGATTTGTCCAAAGGAAGGGATAAATATCGAAATTCCCACAATGCAATGCAAATGCAAGGTTTAGAGAGTTATAGGTTCGGGGGTCGGTTAAACTTAGGGAAGGTGCTAGCATCCTAAGTTTCTGTAGTACTCTACAGGAACCTCTTGTTTTATGTTGTTTATTGCTAAGGTTTATCTGCTTAAGGGTAGAAGACCTAGGGGTTTATTTCTAAGTA